GCTGATAAGTGGTGCAAAGGCAACCAGCTTCATCTATCGGTCTCCACGCTACAACCCTCGGGCATGTCTGTCAATCTATGTCGTGGGGGTCTAATGCGTCAGGACAGAGTGATTTCCAGCTTAAATGGTTTCCATTCCTTGAATATTATTTCAACAAAGATTCATCTAAAACTGTTCAGGTCCCAAAGAAATATTATGATATTGTTCATATGATGAAATATTAACAGGTTCATTTAGAACTGTAATTATAATATATAATAATACTTTCCCATTATTGTTATAGTTTTAATTGTGTTCCACTAAGGTTTTGTTGTTGTTCTGTTGGCGTCTATTGAAAAATTAAATTAAAATTTATTTTAAAAAAAATCTACGTCGTGGGGGGAAACAGGCGGTGTGGTTTGGAGTGCTTTTTGTAAAAGGAGGAACGGCTCATTTCACAGTGGCCTCATCCTCACACATCGGCCACACCATCAAGCCTTAGGGATGAAGACGTTCCGCCTGTGTTTCTCTCCGGTCTTCCATCGGGTCACAGTAAAGGAAGGAGACGCCACTCGAAGCTGGCCTCTGGCGATGCATTCCAGCCAGAGCGGTTTCCTCACAAGAGGTCTGGTCTTGTCCTCCCTTCCAAATCCTGCCCCCCCCCCGAAAAGCAACAGCTTGGTGTCTATTTCTGGGTGTCACAGGAAGGGTGGTGGCCAGAGATGCGGAAAAGGCTCACTGGCACTGGAGTCATTCGAAACCGATTCCCCTTTGGCGGAAGAGTGGAGCCCGTTTTTCCGTAACTGCTCCTGCCTGGCCCCTCTGCTTTTGCAGCCGGCATCATGCCGCTGGAGGTCAGATCAGAGATGGGAAAGGAGGAGAGGCCTATCCGAGGGACCCCCAGCTCCACCAGACACGAAAGGCAGGCACAGCAGGAGGGCGGAGAGCACGCCCTCCAGCTGCGGGAGACTGACAAGCAGGCATGCAAGACCAGCCCGGCAGCCACCCCTGCCCAGAGGGAAGGGGAAAACAGACAAGGCTGAGATGATCCCCAAGTGGACAGGTGCCTGGGCTGTGACATCTCCTTGGCATCGGAGGCACGTGGCCAGGGATCTATCTTTGCAGACGCGACGGTGGCAGGTTAAAAAGCAAGGACCGAGTAGCGGCAGGGTTTACGCTAGCGGGATTTGCACGCTTTGTTTTCCCTTCCCGTTTGGAGGGGCCACAAGTGCAAGTCGAGCGGCCTCAAGATCACAGAATAGGATCTGAAATACAAGGCTCTTTTTACTTCCCAGAACGGCCTCTCACTCGCTCTCGTCTGGGAGGAAGCCCCGTTTTTTTCTGAGCTGTCATGGAGATGAGACAGCGCTGCGTTATTTCCAGTCTTCCCCAAGGAATCGGAATGGCCAGGGATAATCTGTCTCCTCCCTTTCCCCCCTGTATTTTACCCAACCTTAACGACTACGAAACAGCCTGGGAGTTGCCAAGTCTGCCCCTCCGATCCATGGCTGTGGCTTCTCTCACTAAAAGAGACTAAAAACTGACAGGTAAATGCTCAGAACCAAAGACTCTGGAAGGGGGGAGGAGCAAGCCAGGTATTTGAAACGGTTTCCCAACCACAATCTAAACTCCATTTTTTAGAATGCCGTTTCCCTTAAATGGCCACTTCACACATTACATTTCTTAGGCATCTACTTCACACATTTTTATACATACGCCTAAAAACTGAACATGTGAACGCACACGTGTGTGTGTGTGGCAACAAAGTGCGTTATACAGAGAGCTGGAACTGATTGAAGCCCCCGATCAGAGAAGAAGAGACTGGATTTATACCCCCAAACTTCACTACCCGGAGCGGCTTTCAAACTCCTTTCCCTTCCCCTCCCCACAACAGACACCCTGTGAGGTAGGCGGGGCTGAGAGAGCTCTGACAGAAACTGCTCTTTTTTCAAGAACAGCTGTGCCAGAATTACGGCTTGCCCAAGGTCATCCAGCCACGTGCAAGTGGAGGAGTGGGGAATCAAACCTGGTTCTCCCAGATTGGAGTCCGCGTACTTAACCACTACATCAGACTGGCTCGGGGCAAAGGACGCTCGGGGGCAAACCTGGGCTTGCCTGGGCATAATGCGTGAGACGGCACCAAGGAACGCCGACATGGCAGAGCTGCTGAGAGCCAAAGTGGTCCCGCTGAGACATCCCACCTTCCCGATTGCTGCGCTGTGTTATTCACACACACGCACCCCTTCCCCAAATCTCGAATCCATCCCCTCCTCATAAAACAAAACAGACACAAAGCCTAGGAGCAAGGAGAAGCCAAAAGATTTCGTTTCCATTTTATGTCTCTGCACCAATCTTGGCAAAAAAAGAAAATGCATGACACCACCAAAGACTTTGGTGAAGAGGCCGAACCCACCGTCCCCTCTGACTTTGGCGGAATGCACGTGCCAGGGAGGGCGGCTGATTGGTCAGCTAGTGCAAAAATGTGCGTTAGTCTCTCGTTTTAAGGACATGCAGAGGTTTTGGGGGAAAGGGTAACTCCAAAGCACAGGCTTTTTGTCACAATCCAGAAGGAAATCTCACGGACACCCATGTAAGCAACACAAAAAGAGGAAAACCCGGGACGGTCTACAAATTCATTTGCAGTGTTGTGCAAATATAAAAAGAAGATTGTTTAATCTGTCAGTGGAAGTTCTTAAAACACACAAAGATGCTTTTTACAAATCAACCGTCCTAGGCCTGAGAATTATTTCTAATCGGGTAATTTTACTCTATGTTCAGAGGTTTGGTCTTTTTGAGAGGATTATATTCTTCATTTACAGATTGTTTATAAGCAGGCTGTGGGTGCTCCTCACTTCACAACCCCCCTTGCTTGCTAGAACAGGGCTCCCTGGTTCCTGATATCATTTATTTCCAAAAATGCTGTTCTGGCTATTCTGTTTCCCATGGCAAGAAACCCCTCCTTACTGATTCGGAAGCGAGGGACGGAGGTAGTCTGCACAATACTGCTCCACAAACCCCCGGAGCCACTCTCCATGCTGATACAGGGCTGGTTTGCAATGCATGCTGGGAGATGTTGTCTCCACAGGCCGCAACGCTATTGGGTGAACGGCTGCAGTCTACTTTTTGTGCTCATAAAGTGAAGAGCTGTTCGATTTTGTGATGGTTCAAAGGTATGACTGAAGCACGAAACGGTGGAGGAGGGGCCTTCTTATTCAGGCAAGGAGACTGGTATGAAGAAAAATAAGAGCAAACTATTCGGTTACGTGTTAATGGCAAACAGGTCTGAGGCTCGACCAATGAAGAGGTGTCAGCGGTCATTTCATTTTCATCTCTCTCTCTTTTTTAAACCCCTCATTGAGTTACTTGAATAAAACTGTTGTTACTTGAATAAAACTGTTTTCCGAGTTGTGTGGCTGTGGTCTTGGCATTGTAGGACCTGACGTTTCGCCAGTAGCTGTGACTGGCACCCTCAGAGGTATAACACAGAAAGATGGAGTACTCTCTGTGTCAAGGTGAGAAGACACAGAGAGCTGGCTCTCCATCTTTCTGTGTTACACCTCTGAGGATGCCAGTCACAGCTACTGGCGAAACACCAACGTCCTACAATGCCAAGACCACGGACAGACAGCCCGGAAAATCTACAACAGCTAATGAACTCCGGCCGTGGAAGCCTTCGACGACATATTGAATAAAACTGTTGATCAACTTCTCAAGGTCTAAAACTAGGATTAGCTGTTTGCCACTGCCGGGATCGTAAGGGTGGCCACTCTTTCGGCACAATCCTGCGCTGGCCATTCTGACCAATGAATGAGCAGCGTGCAAGAGAGCTTGACACAAGTGAAATGACGCTGGGGAGAAGCAAGACCTGTCCATTTCCTCTCTCTGAGAGACGTGGCGTGACTGACTGGGGGGGAGAACTTCGCTCACCCACAGCTCCGTGTCAGCGGAATACTCGTGATGTCAGACACGGACGCAGGCACTGGATCCTGAAGGACGGCAGCTTCCTCCCTGGGAAGCGGCTCCATCTCGCGGGGAATCAAGTAATAGGACTTAGGACTGGGACTTCTGAATGGAAGAATGAAATCCAGCCGCTAATGTGGTCTGGGATGAACGAGTGGAGCTCAAACTTCCCAGACCCTCATTTCTGAACACGCAGAGCCCTTGGCTGGAACACAACAGCTTTTGTGGCTAATGGGCTATGAGGGCCCATGCAAGGCCAAGGCTGTGTCAGAGGCAGAAGTCCGGGAAACAGCTCTTGTGCTCCCGGGAGCTAAATACACGTGGGTGACCTCCACAGACAGATGCAGAGCATCTCTTCTCTTGGCACGAAAGAATCCTGGGTACAGAGCTTCCACTTGTGTCAGAGACACGCACACATTTCCCGTCGGCTCCCCGTTCATGGGAACCAGGCTGTGCTTTTCGATCCCGGTGGACACTGGATGGCTTTTGCCATCTCAGGACAGGCGAGGTGTCTGTGATGCAAACGGTAAGACCGGACTTTTTTCCTTCTTCTGGATAGGCTGTTCTCTTATCGGATTATGCACGGCGTTTTGTTCTATTTCACACTGGTAAACGTGGGGGAAAGCTGTAAATACTACTTGCGTGCTGCCTGCGATTGGTTTTTTCCAGGGCTCTTTTCGTAGAAAAAGCCCAGCAGGAACACATTAGGATAGTAGGCCACACCCAACAGCAAAACGCATTAGCATATTAGGCCACACCCTGACAGCACCGCTCATTAGCACATTAGGCCGCACCCCCGTGTTACCAGAAGTGTGGTCATCCAGCCACACCCACCTTTCCCTTCTTATTCTGTTTACCTCGTTTGTTGTCAAAACCCAGGGCCTTTTTTGTAGCAGGAACTCCTTTGCATGTTAGGCCACACACCCCTAATGTAGCCAATCCCAATGAGTTCCTGCTGTTGGGCGTGGCCTATTATGCTAATGAGTTCCTGCTGGGTGTGGCCAACTCAGAAGCTAGCCGGAACTCCGTTCCTGTGCGTTCCTGCCCAAAAATAGCCCTGGTTTTCCCCCCAAACCACAAATTCATCTTGGCATGATTGAGGATCCTATACTTAAATTTCTGCTCCTTCCTCCTGATCGTGGCCACCCCCGGCGAGAGACCCTGCCTCTTGCACCACCTGGCTCCCACCGTTCTCCAGCCGCGCTCACGGCAGCACCTCTCAACCGATTCCCTCCCGGAACCCATCCGTGAACCCTGCTAACACGTCTCTGGGTCGAGAGGGATCCAAAACCGGCCTTCCGGACCAGAAACAACACACCTGACGCGTCAGGAGTTTGCTTACGCTCGGTTCAAACAAAAATGAGAAGAGGACCATAAAAGGAATATCTGTTTGGTTTTTGGTTTCTCCTGGCTCCATAAACACAAAGAGGTGCACGTCCTACCATAGGAGGAAGCAATGGCTGTTAAGTTTTACAGTTATAGCGGAAAGCACTGGTCACCCCCCCACCCCCTCGCCGGGCTTTCCTCGTTTACTGGATGTGGCAGGCGGTGGAGGAGGTGGCTTGACAGCACATGCAAGTGGGGTTGACCGACTTCGGGGGGATGAGGTCGAGGTCCTCGTCGTCCGGGATCTCGTCTAACCGATACCCGTCCTTGAGCAGCTGGATGTTCAAGTCCTGGTTGATCTGCTGTAGACAAAGAGTCAATGGGTCAAACGTCTGGCCGTCCGACGCCCTCAGCCTCACACACCCCACCCCCCATTGGAGACATATTCGGTTATACGTCTGGTCCCGGTTAAAGAAATGGATTCTAGAGAGGAGCGCACACTCAGCACGCGTGACGCATTAGGTCCAATCCCCAGCACAGCCAGTTAAGATGGTCTCTTTGCAGAAGAAGAAAAAGAAGAGGAGGAGGAGGAGGAGATTGGGTTTATACCCCGCCCTTCACAACCCAAAGGTTGGGGGGGTCAACAGTGGGAGGGCGTCTAATGTCCTGGCCCCACTGGTGGACCTCCTGATGGCCCCTGGTATTTCTGGCCACTGTGTGATACAGAGTGTTGGACTGGATGGGCCTTTGGCCTGATCCAACATTGGCATCTCTTATGTTCTTATGTTCTTAAGGAGTCTCAGAGCGGCTTACAAACCCCTTTCCCTTCCCCTCCCCACAACGGACACCCTGTGAGGTGGGTGGGGCTGACAGAGCTCTGACAGAAACTGCTCTTTTCAAGAACAGCTCTTATCAGAACTATGACTTGCCCAAGGTCATCCAGCAGGTGCAAGCGGAGGAGTGGGGAATCAAACCCCGTTCTCCCAGATTAGAGTCCGCACACTTAACCACGACACCAAACTGGCTCAACATGTGGCTTTATTCAGTTTGATGATTAATAGCCCTTAGAAAACAAGAGGAAAGTCCTTTTTGAAGGGCATGCCTATTTGTAACCTCTCAGCCTCCAAGAATTTCTGAGTGTGAACATGCAAGGTGGCCTCCTATCCTGACACAGGCTGGCTCAAGGGCTGATGGAGTCGTTTCTGGTTTCTTCGTGCTATTATCTGTCCTTGGATTGCAAAAGCCAAGGAAAATTATTCATGAGGAAATGTTTTTCCCCCAACCCAGTCATGGGGGGGGGGGAAGGGAGCAGCTGTTGGTAAAATACCTGTCCTTTTGGAAACGTAACATTTCTTATCTTTCGTAAGAAAGATGAGTTGGAGGAACTGGAACTCACCTCTGCCGACGAATATCCCGAGGAGGAATATCTGGACATATCAAAGTCATCGTCACTGCAGAGGAAGACAAAGTGCAATGAGAAGAAGAAGAGGAGGAGGAGGAGGAGACTGGATCTATACCCCGCCCTGCGTTCGGAGTTTCAGAGCGGCTGGCAAACTCCTTCCCCTCCCCACAACAGACACCCTGTGAGATCGGTGGGGCTGAGAGCTCTAACAGAAAGTGCTCTTTTTCAAGAACAGCTCTGAGAGAACTTGTGACTGACCCAAGGTCATCCAGCAGCTGCAAGTGGAGGGGTGGGGAATCAAACCCGGTTCTCCCAGGTTAGAGTCTGCGCACTTAACCACGACACCAAATTGAAAAAAGCAGACCCCCCATTAAGAAGCTTACAGAGCACCTCAGTAAGTCATTCCTCATCCGGATTCCCAGAGTGAAGAGCCCTGCTGGATGAGGCCAAGTGCCCGTGTTGCCCAGCATCCCCGTTCCCACCCAGACCCCTCCAGGAAACCAGCGCGTGGGGCCTGACTGCTTCTCTCCTAGCATCTGGTATTCAAGGAGGATACCCCCTCTGAATACGAAGATGTCACTCGGCCATCACGACTGAAGGTCCTTGAAAGACCTACCCACTGCCTAAATCCTTCAAGTGCAAAGTGATTTCACGTCGTCACCTTAGTGACCCTCGGAAACATGAAAAAGGTTGGCATTTCCAGTTCGCATACTTGGAAAACTGAAACGGATGCCTTCAGCCAAGGGTTTGCCCTAGAGATGTGAAGGCCCAGGAAAAACCCAATTTTTTCCCTGAAGCCTTTTTTGTTTTTTTCTGAAAAATTGGAAAAAAGAAAAGAAAAAAAAACTGGAACATTTTATTTTAACATGGTGAATAAAATATTTTAAGACCAGGTGTTCAAATATTTTCCAGATAATTTCTAAAAAATACGTATGGTATCAGATTGATCTAATTTCTGTGCACTGAGGACAAGCAAGTCCTAGGTTACCAATTGAACTCTCCAATGCAAGATGCATTTCTTCCTTTAGGAGGTGCTATTGTCACAAGAAAAGAAAAAGGTTTCAGTTTTGTTTTGGCATGTGGACGGGAATTCTGTTTGTAATAATTGATTGGATACACTATATTTTTAATATGCTAGTTGTGATAATTTCATGCCAAGTAAAAATGTCCGTAGTCATATTTTATGTTCCTAAAGTAACAGAATGACTTTCAATCTGGAGAAGAAAAAAGTGCTAATGCAGCATTTTTTTTTTCAATTTTCCCGAAAATTTCAGTTTCCCCCCGAAACCCGAAAATTTTAGTTTTCCCCGGAAAAAAACTGGGGGGGGGGGGGAACGGGTCCCCCCCAGTTTTTTTCGGGGGGAAACGGAATTTTTTCCCCGAGCTTCAAAATTTCCAGAAATTTTACATCTCTAGTTTGTCCACAGCGGTGCGAGGGCAAACTGTGTGCAAGGGAGTGATAAAGGGCCCTATCCGTGGTGGTGCCACCTCTGTGGAATGGCCTATCCAGAGAGGACTGCTAGAGCGAGCGACTCAGCACACCTATGTCAGCTCTGCCCCATTGCCGATGGTGGTGGTGGGGAGAGGCGGCTGATGTCGTGTTTCTTGTTATACTGGAATCTTAACTTTCACTTCTCCGCGCTGAGTCTTATCTCATAGTCTGAGTGTCTGACCTTGGTACCGCATTCCTGATGGTTCACTGGGAATGTGAACCCGTTAGTTTAGGCGCGCTATAGCTAATCCCTTGATTGGCTCGACCTCGTCAGGGGACCCCACTTCGAATCCCGTATATCTATTCCCCTCCTGCCTTTAGAGAAGTGGAAGAGAAGAGATTGGATTTATACCCCGCCCTTCACTAGGAGTCTCAGAGCGGCTTACAAACTCCTTTCCCTTCCCGTCCCCACAACAGACACCTTGTGAGGTCGGTGGGGCTGAGAGAGCTCTGACAGAAACTGCTCTTTTTCAAGGACAGCTGTGCCAGAGCTTGTGACTGACCCAAGGTCACATCAGCAGCTGCAAGTGGAGGAGTGGGGAATCAAACCCGGTTCTCCCAGATTAGAGTCCGCGCACTTAACCACGACACCAAACTGGCTCTTTAGGGTTAGTTCTGACACTGAATGTATGCACAGATGACTTGTCTTTACTGTACTCAATAAACTTAAACCCTTTTGAAGGAACGTTGTTGAGAACTGATTGCTGCAAGACTCTGACAGCCTGGACTGGGAGGCCTCTCTCGTTGTCTTAACCTGGGAGCTGCCCCTCTGACCCCTCCTCTCTCTCGATCTGCGCTCTTTGGAATCAAACCTGGTTCTCCCAGATTAGAGTCCGCGCACTTAACCACGACACCAAACTGGCTCTTTAGGGTTAGTTTTGACACTGAATGTATGCACAGACGACTTGTCTTTACTGTACAAACCCTTTTGAAGGAACGTTGTTGAAAACTGATTGCTGCAAGACTCTGACAGCCTGGACTGGGAGGCCTCTCTCGTTGTCTTAACCTGGGAGCTGCCCCTCTGACCCCTCCTCTCTCTCGATCTGCGCTCTTTTTCTGCCCCATTATCCACATGGCTCTTCATGGAGTCACACACGTCTCTGCAGGTCTCTCCTGTAGACACAATGTCCTCATACTTCCGCACATGTGATGTCAGATTGAGCCGGCCACTTGCGATAGGGAATGTATTCTTTAGATTAGGCTTCTCACTCTCTCTTTGCGACTGCAACCCAAATGTGACCTGGATCTACTTGAATAGATGCAGGTTTTACTTTTGCAATGGACTTTGGGAGACTGACTTTCTGCATGCAATCTCACACTTCTGTGACTGGGGAAACTCTGCTGTATTAACCAAATATTTCAATAAGAACTACCTGGGGGAAAAAACCTCCAGGCCTTCAGGGGACAGGCACAGACGCTTCCCTTCTGCATCTGGGCCCCAGTCACACAGGCCAGATAATGCGAGGGGGGGGGAGGCGTGGCTGTTCGCCCCGGAGCAAAATAAAGCGCGGTAGCCCGCTTACACGGTCCCCTGAGTCTCTGCGCTTAGGCTGTTAGCTGGCGATCACACGGTGATGCTGGAGCGTGGCAAAGAAGTGGCGAGGCAAGCGTTTCGCGTTTGTGCGCATCCACAGTTTCGCGGAGCAGCACCGCTTTCAGTTACGTGTCTGTGCACATGCACTTACAAAAAACATCCGGTTTGCGACGGGACGTGGACAGGCGCCAGATGCCACGGGATACTAGCGCTCCCGTGATCAGACGCCCACCCCTGCCCCGCGTTTCCCGGATACTAGTGCACTTTCCGAGGTACTTTTTTACTGTGCATCTTCGCCAGGACGCCACGGGTCGGCCATGGGTGCGCTACGCTTCCCAGATGTTGCAGTGTGATCGCGCCTCGAAAATCCGCCTGACATTCGTGCCCTTTGTGCGCGTGCGGCAAATCGTGAACGGGGCCCTGGTTAGTTAACACAGCTCGGTTTATCACCTCTGCAGTTCCATAATTTATTGCCATTAACTGGAGATGGGCAGATCTCATTGCATTTTTATCCACTTTGTTGGTAGCGGCTCCAAGAAACACCCACAGAGCCCTGACCTGGACAGCCTGGGCCGGCCCGATCTCGTCAGATCTCAGAAGCTAAGCCAGGCCGAACCTGGCAAGTACTTGGATGGGAGACTTCCTTGGAATACCAGAGGCGGGAGGCAGGCTTTATTCATTCAGAATATCCTCCAGGCCCCAGTAGGGGTCACCACGCAATGTTCCCTATAAGCTGTGGAGTCTTGTGAGCAAAAATCCTACTTTGTGAGCTCCTGGCATTAAAGTTGTGAGCGAGCGATTTGGCTGCTGCATAAATTAGTTTGCTCTGGAGCTCTCCTTCCTGAGCTAAGACAAAAATGTGTGAGCCAGAGGCTTAAAAACTGTGAGCTAGCTCACACTAACTCAGCTTAGAGGGAACACTGGTCACCAGATGTTGCCATGACTTTCAGAGGTTGTGCACACACACATATATGCACATATTAAAAAACACACACACCCCAAAACCCCACCCACAGAGAAAAGTGAGCAAAGAATGCCTTAAATTAAAAGAGAGAAAGAAATGAAATTTGCCGACTGCCCCGCCACACACCTGTCAGTGTCCAGCGCTACCAACGGCTTCTCGTCAGGACTCTGGTCTAAAGAAGAATAGCCTTTATTGGGAACGACCAGCCTGAGATTTAAAAAAAAAAAGAAATGGTCAGTACTACATAACGTTAAGCAAACAGTAGGATGAAAGCATTTTCTTTAGTTGTGTGATATCGGAACAGACACCAAGGATGAAATAAACTGAACAGGTCGAAGCTGCTGGGAAAAGAGGAAGAAATCTCATTCCTAAGAACAGAGGAAGAGCCCTGCTGGATCGGCCTCTGTGGAGGTTCCCTTTAGTCACTATGGCTAGTAGCCACTGATGGACCTGTCCCCCACAAAATCCATCCATGCTTGTGGTCATCACTACGTCCACTAGAAGTGAATTCCACAATTTACTTAAAGGTAAAGGTAAAGGTTTCCCTTGCTTGAAAGCCAGTCGAATCCGACTCTACGGTTGCGGTGCTCATCTCCGTTTCAAAGGCAGTTCAGCATCTTAACCACTTGAGCCACCACAGCTTTACTTACTCGTTGATTAAAAGAAGTATTTCCTTTTATCCCGAATCTATTCCCCATCAACTGCATTAGAATGTTCCTAAGCACAAGCATTATGGGAGAGGGTGGAAATGTTCTCTCTAGCCACTTTCTTCACCCCGTGCATAATTTTGTAAACTTCTATCATGTCTCCTGTGAGCCGTCTTGCTCCAAGACTGAAACGTCCCACACTCACCAGCTTTTCCTCATAGGAGAAGTGCTCCACCCCCCTAATCGGTTGCCCTCTTCTGTACT